CTACATTGTGTAAAGAAAGGGAGTGTTGCTCTTTGAAACAATTGTAATTTAGCTAATTAGTACCTATCTATCCTTACTGTAGATAGAAATAAGGCATTTTCCCTGGGTTTACTATTGATCTTTTCCTTTGATATGCCTGTTATTATAGTTTTTAAAATAAAACAATGTATTTGTGAAAGGCACAAAGGAATGAACCCCAGTATTTTCAATCCTAGCTTTTCTTGCCTTTGGCATTATATTTTCCAGGGGCAATTCATACTGCATTAGGCATCCAGGGTTAGGTGCATATATAAGTGCAGACTGAAGTGCTGTGCAGGCCAAGGAGGTCATTGCATACTGCTCTGCTTAAGTGAGAAAGCTTTTCAAATTAATTCTGTCAAAGAACTATGTCCTCTAAGGCCATAAAAGTAACATAGCTAAGTGTTTTGTTATTATCATGAAGGTGGCAGGTAAACACATGCATTTTCAGACATTTGTTCTCAACCCTGCTCTGTTTTAATCTGTTCTTTTGGGATCAAGGAAACAGCTGAACAGCAGACTTGAAAAGTACCTGGGTCTGATATGGAAAACTCAGTTTAATGATTAAACGTGCTTATTCCCCTAAATAATCCACATTTAGGGAGTTTAAAGATGTGCAGTAAGCAGGGAAACATACAAAGCCTTTCTTTTTTGTCCTTGAACTGTATTCAAGCTGGGGACATACCTTCTCTTAATTTTTATAAGGAGCAAGCATGTGAGACTGTCCTGGTTTGAGCCCTGAGGGCAACATCACTTTAATTCAAATGCTAACAAGACAACACTTAACAGACAAGGTGGGGTCAATGAGAAGCGCCACCACATCCAAAACCACCTTCCCCACCCCTCCCTGGGCTCAGCTCTGCTCCCCGTCTCTCTCCCTCCTCCCCCAGCAGCGCAGGGGCAGGGGATGGGGGTTACAGTCAGCTCGCCGCTCCTTCCTGCTCGGGAGCTGGGGTGAACACCGCGCATCCCTCCCCTGCTCCACGGGGCTCCCCTCTCCCTGCAGACACTCCTCCATGAACCTTCTCCAGCGTGAGTGCTCCCCACGGGATGGAGCCAGTCCAGAGCTGATCCAGTGTGGGTCACCCCTGCATGTCGCAGTCCTCCCAGCACTGAGCCGCAACAGCGGGGGCTGCTTCTCCCCTTGGAGTCCCATCTTCTTTTAAGTGCAGCCACCTGTCCTGGCTTCAGGTTGGCTTCTGCTCCACCAGTGACCTCCATGGGTGGCAGGGTGGGCGGCCTTGCTGTGTCACCATGGGGTACAGGAGTCTCTGCTCCAGCACACCTATCCCCCTTCCTCCTCCTTCCTTCCACTGAGCTCCGTGTTCATCCCTCTCCCAACTCCTCCTCCCAGGCTCCCCTTCTTAAATATGTTATAGCAGAGGCGCAGCCACCATCACTAATTGGCTCAGCCCTGGCGAGAGGTGGATCTGATTTGGAGCTGGGGGAGCTTTTGAGAAGCTTCTGACAGGGGGTTACCACTGTAGCCCCCTTCCCCGCTACCAAAAAAACCCTGTGCCACAACTGTAGGTCTTCTGATTGTTGCCTTGAGCTTGGATTTCCCAGTGGACTCTCAAGTCTGTCTTGAGTCCTCCAGGAGATGGCCTGAGACTGTCTTTGGTGCTAACATCCTGATGGGTGTAGGGATCTGAAGAGGGACTCATTCAACAAAAAAGCAAGTATGTAACATGTTCATGAAAATAACCTTGTGCATTCTGTCTTCAATTTTACTAAATAAGGACAAAACTTTACTGAAGAAAAAACTCAATGTGTTTTGCTGAAAGTGATGCTTTTTTAATATATCCATTTAATAATTTGAGAATAGAACTTTGTGAAAATAAAGGTGAGTTTTGCTTTCTTGGAAACAGAGTATCATAACATTAGCAAGGTTGACATGTTTATTTAGTTCTCATCCATGTATGTAGCACTTAATAACAGGTCTGAACATGGCATTCCTGGTGATTATTTCCAGCATCATTTCCGAAAGAGGAACATAACATCAGCACTAGCTTCTTCATATTTCTTTGCCAAATGCTTCCATAGTAGGAACAAGTCCTGTTAGGAGCGAACTGACATGCTAGTACGTCAGGAAGTGGGCTACCGTGCATCCCATACTTGAAGTCAGCAGCTTGCATTTAAGAAAGATAAGCTCTGCAGGCATATTCACAAAATTCAAGAGGACCAACCATCTAGGTTTCCCTTACAGTCAGCAGAAAAATGTAGGCTCCTCTAGAGTGAGCCTGAGGCAGGGGATATGAATTGTACTCTGAAAAATGTGTCTCTTCTTACTACAGAATGAGTGAGATTGGGAACTAATGGCAAAGTTTTAGCACTCATACCGAGTTTGATGTTTCTCCAGACTAGTGCAGGCACTAGTACTTTTCTAAAACTCATTTAGGTTTTGGACATGAGAAAGGATCACTGTAGTCTAGGGAGACTGGCTCCTGGCTCTCTAGGCTGAAGTTAGTCTCTCCAAACAGTTTGAATTATCAGTAACTCACTAATCCTCTCATGATTCCCTAGGTGGGAGGTGGATAAATTAGTCCTTTCCCATGCCTCTCCTTTGCCTTTTGCATCCTGTAATAGGCAGATGTATTCCTACCACTGAAATAAAAGCTGACTGCAATTCTGTGTTCAATTTGCCCGTAATTCTACCAACGGTACTGCAAGTAATGAATCCATAAGTTCAAGGCACAGTGAAGGTGTTTGGGGTTTATTTTTTACTATTTTAAAATAAATTTTAAGGAAACTGTTATATTGCTAATACACATAAACACATTAGTTTGGCGGAGCACTGAAATTTCTTTGTGGGAAAAATCTATGTTTAAAACCATCTATAAGACACACATTCTTAGGAAGGCTACATAATGTATAAGATTTAACAAGACTATTATTAGAACCCAGGTCTCTTGATTCCTCTGTTCACTGAATCATACTATTCCCAAAGTGTTAGGCATTAAAGTACATGGGGATGAATTGTAGGGCACATAGAACCGAGGCCAACAAATTAAATGAAAGCTAAAACCCCTTTTTGTAAACTGTGAGTTGGAATGCTTTCTAGGAGATAAAATCAAGAAAGAAAGTGATTATTCTGCTCTCTAGAAGTAGCAAGTACTGGTTTCAGCTGCTGCATTACAAAGAGGAGCCAGAAGGGCATCAGAACAGGCTGCTGGGGAAAGTGTGCGGGCATCCCCAGACACTGCACAGTCTTTTTTCTTCAGGACTTGTGGCAAACTGTGCACAATGTCATCATACTCTTTGCTATGTTATAGCCCATAGTGATTAGAGTTGTATAAACAGCATTTGCCTTTCTTTTTCTCATGTTCTAAGTGAAATATCCCCAAACAGTTTTACAATAAGGGAGAATACTGAGGGTGGACAGAATTTTTGTCTTTTGCTATAGAAATAAGAAAGATGAGAGATTAGGAATGTGGATGCTTGGTGGTATTTAGGTTTTTGTTCTAAAACTTCTTTGTTGCGTGCCTGTGAAAGAAGTGAACAAATATTAAGGCCAATGCAGACACTCAGGGTTCAATCACATAGGTACCCAAGACTACATTTAATCAAGAACTTCAGTCACTAGCAAATAAAAGGGTAACTCTGAAATCAAACACACTGTACTGCATTATTTATGAAATATAAACCTTACACTGAATTTTCTCTCAAAAGCTTGCTACATCCATTGTCTCCTTCAGGAGTTTTTGTTCCCACTTCTGTATTCCTCTTCAGTAGCCCAAAGACGCTGGCATACTATTATTTGTACTATGAGACAGCAGAATTAGCTCAGAAAGTGTATGCAGTAATTGAAATTCTGCTGAGACGGTGGGTTAGTGTACAGCCCCCACCCTATTTCCAGCTGTCCTCTCTGACTGCCCCAATGCACTCTGAGATGCCTAACTTATAAAGCTTTGACGTGAGCTGCTTTTCCCTAAACTTTTATGTTAGGGTATGATGTCTGTCTTTCTGTCTGAAATCAGTGTGCAAAAGTGTTGCACTTAGTGTTGCCAAACTCCAAGAATTTAAAAACCTGCCAGGCTCCCAAAATACTTGAGATTTTTTTTCTTAAAAAGCATATGAGGTGAAACGCTGCCTAGTTCTAAGTTCTTTATTTTTGCCATCTGGTTTTTGAGCATCCCACGCAGAATTTTGGTCAGATTTTCAAGTTAATCTCTGCAACTCTCCTGAAAGCCAAAAGTGTACTTTTTGTAAATGAAACTAATGATTCTTGAAGATCTAGAGCAAAATAAGCTTACTATTTAGCAGTATTCCGTAATATGTGCTTATTTGGGACTTTTATATGGATTAGAAACTGTATTTTAAGGACTCAAATTTGAAAAGATTGGCAGCTGCCACTCACTTAGGATGATGTTGCATTAACCCTGCAAATTCCAAAACTAGAATAGACTAGAACTAGAAAAAAATCAAGACTTTATTTCAGAGGTATATACTCAACTCACTATATAATGATATGATAACTGAAAGGTGGTAAAGGTGATATGCTTTGAGTAAGGTTAAAGGCATTACAAAAGACAACAGCATATATGCAGTAAAATAAATAGTTCAAGGATCTTATCAGATGTAAAACATACTAAGATTTTGCTTGGAAATATACCTCCTATGTCCTAACGCAGCACTGATCTCTTATTTCCTTCTTGTGCAAGTGAAGTATCTTTTTCTATATTTTCACTACCTGTTTCATTCATCAGATTTTCTGAAGGTAGATCTTTTTAATGATATACTCAAGAACTGTCCTAGATTTTAGAATTTTTTTTTTTTCTGTAGCAGTCACTGGTGATATTTACATTCTCTTTTGCAACTGGAACTATTACCATGGATACAAGAATCATAAAAAATAATTAAACCTCTGTGAACTTCTTGAGTTCATTGATATTTGGTGCAAAAACTCCAAAAAAAATCTGAATGTTTCCAGTTTTATATGATATGGGAGGCAATAAACTATTTCTTTTTATTTTGAATTACAGATGGCATCTGCTCAAGATTCCAGATATGGCCAGAAAGATACATCTGACCAGAACTTTGATTACATGTTCAAACTGCTCATTATCGGCAACAGCAGTGTTGGGAAAACCTCCTTTTTGTTCCGATATGCTGATGATTCCTTTACGTCTGCATTTGTAAGCACTGTTGGGATCGATTTCAAAGTAAAAACGGTTTTCAAAAATGAAAAAAGAATTAAACTACAGATTTGGGTAAGCCATAAAAAATAATTCTATGAGCTAAGCAAGCTGTAGCAGTTTGCTAGATAGCATTTAAGCTACTGTAGGTTTGCACTGAATGTCATAAGCTTTATATATATATTCATAGTAATGAAAAAGCATTTAATTATTTCCCGCATGACTTTTCTGTCTTGCATAATAGAGTGTAGACAGTATTTTTAAGGTATTGAAGTACAGCAGATTATATATTCTTGTCATGGTTTAAGCTCAGACAGCAACTGAGCACCAGACAGCTGCTCACTCCCCTCTTCCCCCTCAGTGCTGAGAAGGAGAAAATAATCAAAATTTGGGATTTGAGATAGGACAGGGCGGGGCAAATCACCCGTTATGGTCACAGGCAAAAGGCAGACTCGTTAGGGGAAGAAAAAAAGAACATACATTGATTACAGGCGTAACAGAGTAGGACAGTGAGAAGCACTGCCACATCTTGAGAACAACTTCCCCCCACCCCTCCCTTCTTCCCGGGCTCAGCTCTGCTCCCGATATCTCTACCTCCTCCCCCAGTGGCGCAGGGGCAGGGAATGGGGGGTGCAGTCAGTGCTGCTGCTCCTTCCATCTTCGGTGGGGGGAGCTTCTGGAACTTGTTCCCCCTGCTCCATCGTGGTCCCCCTCTCACAGGAGACAGTCCTCCACAAACTTTCTCTGACATGAGTCCCTCCCACAGGCCACAGCGTTTCCTTATGCTGCTCCATCGCGGGTCACCAACTTTCTCTAACAGGAATCCCTCCCACGGGCTGCTGCAGATAGCAGAACATTTAACAATGTGAGACCGAGAATTAAAGCTTCAGGTCTTTGCCATCTTCCTTGGGTGCTTGAAGATTTTGAGCAATGTTACCTTTGTGATATATTTGTAACAGCTTTATTAACCAAGATGTTATTCCTTTGTGCATGAATACAAATAATTTAAAAATATATTTAATGATGGGCACCCATTAAATGTCAGGAAACATCAGATCAAATATGACCAGTTAATCTAACATGTTTTGAACAGGAGATAAATCGAATATCTTTTTAATATTGCACAAAGGTGAATTTTCCAGAGTTTCCGAGGCTGTATCTCATTCATGTCTTCTTCGGGTAGGCTTCAGACCTTGATATCTCATATCATTTGTTGTTCTGTGCCCTCTAAATTAAATTCACATTGACATTACCTTATTATTTTTTTATAACGGAGCAATAAAATTGTGTTCACATTATAGTCTTTACACAGTCCTTCTTTTAATCACCAGGTATCCTCTACAGTAGAATTTATTGTTCATGTCTCTGCTGCAAAAGCAGCTTTAGTTTACAATGTTGTATTAATGCAATTAGTTTGACACCAGTATATTTCTCATAATGCTTCTCCATGGCGGACTACAAATATGTGCTTGGCTCAAAGCAGTCCATTAATCTAAATGGGTTCAGGGCTATCCATAGCATTGAGAGGATGTAGCAGCTGTAGTCTTGCCAGCTGGAAGAAACTTCCAGTTTTAGCAAAATGGACATTTTGTTGTTCTTTGCATGGCAGTAACATGCAGAATCCAAACGAACTCTGACAGTCCTTGCCTGAAAAAATTGCAATTGAAATGAGTGAAACAAACACAAGGACTCCATGTCCCTTAGGGAAGAATGGACAGAGGCTCAGAGCATGGAAGAAATCTTCCTAAAATAACCTACCAGGACAGAGGGTTAGAGACAGGACTTCAGATCTTACTTTCTTAGTAAAGATTTTTACTCCAGCTACTTCATCCAGCACTTCATCTTGGGTTTGTTGTTTTGGTTTGGGTTTTTTTTCCATTAAAAATTTAATGCCAATTCTTAAAAGGCCTTGTCATTGCCAAATTAACACAAATTGCAACAGCTCACAGTTGCTGTTTACACTTTTTAGATGGAGTATTTTACACCAGAGCATTGTGTTGCAGTTATGCTTGCTAGTAAATCGATTGACTGTTGCACGTCTGGGACCTTAAATAAAATCAGATACGTATCTCAGGAAGCTATTTTAGCACACGAAATCTGAAATAGAGCACTATTACCCCATCTTGTAAGCTATATCAACAGCCATATTGTTCTTAACACGCAGTATCTATATAGGTAACATACTTTATTACTTTTCTTTGATTATGTAAATGTCTTTCTAAAATGAATAGTACTGCAGTATCCATTTCTATTTCAAACTGCATTTATGAAAAGCCAGTTATACTAAACAAAATATAAAATTGAATGAATCACAGTGAGTGTGATTTGATGATAATTCTGAGTAGAAATATGCATGAGGTTATAACACTTCCTTCAAAATCACTGGCAAAATATTTAGTGACATGATGTGATAAATGATATTCAGCATATATGAAATAAAACATTCTAAAAAATCTCACAGGTTTAAACAGTCAGAAGAAACTGGAATTGCAACTTTAAAATGTGTTCTGGATTACAAGATCAGAATTAATTCAGTAATTCCTCACATGTGCTGCAGTGAGGAAATACATGGAATGCTGCTGCTCTGCTGTCCTTGCCTGGAAGCAAGATGCAGAAATGTGTAAATAGTAATGCTGCTGAGTCACTAAAATTCCCTAGCTAGAGACACAGTTAATCCAACATGTGTCCTGTTACAATTTTGTACAGATTCTTCTTGGGTAGGCATTTAAATGTCGTGTTTAGTAGCCCTTTCAGCATGATATTTTGCGTTCAACTTGAAGCATGTTGGAGCTTGAAACACTGATTTCCTCAGAATAAAATTCCCATATGCTTACTAGTGAAGGGTGCAAGTTTGTTTGAAATTCAGCATGGACACTCAAGGAAGCAGAGTCATTATTTCTTAATAAAATTCACTGTCTGATTATCACAGATGATAGGTGCTGATATCATACTAAGTGCAGACTTACATACTGGGATGGCCTGCAGGTCTTTTGTTTGTTTGAGGTTTTTTCTTGCTTTGAGACAATAGTGTCTTATGTTTGGATTCAGAGGACCTGAATTGGATTTTCTTCTTTCATTGTTCAAGCCAGGGAGGGTGGGGCTCTCCCTAGTACTTACTGTTGTATCTTTTCTATATGGTCAGAAAGAGCTTGCTGAGAGCACTGCAATGTTTGCTTTCTTTCCTTCTGAACCAAACACCTTCTTTCCACAATATTTCTTCCTGAAATTGAGAGAGGTTCAGAGTTCGAATGCTATATTCATTAGTGATGGCACATTACCTTGTCATAGGACCACCAGCTGGCTCTGAAATTTTGTTTCACAGCAAGTTATAAATGTGACAACCCTGGTATGGACATTACAAAGACAGCATAATAACAAGTTTTTTACCTATTAAAGGAGCTAAATCCATAAAAAAGGTGTTTTTCCTAAAAAGGTATTGATTTCTCAACAGGAACTATAAGGAATTCTGTAAAGGAATTGTGTCTGTACATACATTCATAGGATAAAAGTGCATCAGAGGGCTTTAGGGTATTTTACAGTGTCAAATAAACAGCAATACATTTTTCCTCTAATTGGTTTGAGCTAGTAATATTAAAGGAATGGGACTGGAAGGCTATAAGATTCTTCTAGTTTCAAACTGCTAGATTTCAAATTATGTCGAATTAAAAAAAAGTCTTGTCAATACTAGTTCTGAGAAAAATACACACTAAAGAAAATGATTAAAAGCTCAAAGAAGTGTAAATCAGAAAATAAAATTGTTTAGCCTTATAAATCTATCGCTGTGTTCCTTGCATAAATCACTACATTCAGTATACCCTGTAGTTGTGATGCCACAAAGGTTTGCATTACTTTTGTAAACTGTCAATAATTTAATAGACTGCAAGAGTTTATGGAGAAAATATAGGCTAATTTGGACAGTAAAATTTGTTAGCTAACATTTGTCAAAATAAATCATTAGAATAGGGGAAAAAACAGAAAAATAAAGTGCAGATATTGATTCCTAGGAAAACTAGTAAGGTTTACAAAGACAGGTCAATTATTTGTTTAACTGACAGTGTATATTTAAAATCTACTTGATCAGAACTCTCAGTGATTTCTAGCTGATTTCAGTACAAATTTTCTTTGTGGAATATAGCACCACATTTTCCCTCTCTGAACTATTTATTACACAAAAATGCTCTAACTGCATTCATACAGCAATATTTGCATAGTTTCTATCTGATTGCAGCACTTCAGTGCAAATATCAAATAAGAACACTGCACTGCCTTTTCCTGCTTAGATGGCTTGTCCCTGAGACTAGCCATAGACTTTATGGACTTCATGGACACTGATCACAGACAAATAAAAGATAACCTCCTGGAGAAGATGGTGTGAGAGCTGCTTGTGTCAGCATATCCTTCCCAGAACTGTGTGTGACAATTTCATTTGATACTCAAAATGTTGCTGTCTTCACATCAGCTGTTTTCTATATATTGTCACAGGGTTTAGGGAGTAAGTGAGGACTAGGTTTTACAAGCTGAATGAGGAAATCCCATGTCATCATTCAAAAATTAAAACTGTAGTAGCTGTTAAATCAATAAATGTTAGGCACCTGATTTTTTGCTCTACAGGCTCTCTAACAGCGCTTTAACAGTAAAAAGGGGTTCAGTTAAAATAAGAATATTTTTGTCTGTGTGTGTTTTAGAGGAGTATGTGAGAATACTGGTATGAATTAAAATTGTCTTGATGTTGGAGTCTTTAGAGGGTATCCTACACTAACTCACAAGTGTGGAGGCAGTGCAGTATTGCAGAAATACCCTGTAAGAGTGGCTGAGGTCATAGCATCAGTACAAGAATCACTAAGTACACTGGTTCAGAAAAAGTGAAAGCTGAAACAATAAAAGGGGAGTTAAGAGAAGCGTGTGGAGATAGCAGATAGCGAGTGTGGCAAAAGTTTCATCACAGGAATTTTAGGGCATGATTTTATCACATCTGACTCATCTGAGTATTTTAATTGGTATGATAGCCACATCAAAGTTTTTTTCATTATTCCTTTCTCAGGTGCTGGTGACAATGTGTAGCTGTGGCTTTGAAT